GTTGTCATTACCAGATTCGTAGCTCTCAATTAAATGCCTTCTCGAATAGCCAGGTCTTTAGGCTCTTACGAAAAGCCATAAGGGAGGGCGCCTGTCTGATGTCAACAGGGAGGGTGTTCCACAGCCGGGGGGCCACCACTGAGAAGGCCCTCTCTCTCGTCCCCGCCAGACGTGCCTGTGAGGCGGGCGGGATCGAGAGAAGGGCCTCCCCAGATGATCTCAAGGCCCTCGTGGGCTCATAGGCCGAGATGTGGTCCGAAAGGTATTTTGGGCCGGAACCGTTTAGGGCTTTGTAGGATAACACCAGCACTTTGAATTGGGCCCGGTAGCAGATCGGCAGCCAGTGGAGCTGGGACAACAAGGGCGTTGTGTGCTCCCTGCGTCCCGCTCCCGTTAGTAACATGGCTGCCGCGCGCTGGACTAGCTGAAGCTTCCGGGCCGTCTTCAAGGGCAGCCCCACGTAGTAATAATAATGGTCACATTGGGCCAGTTGATGCTCTGGCATGGTTGGATTGCAACTCCCACCATTCCTTACCCTTCCTGGTCCTGATAAGACTATGACCCATATCTTTGAAAAATTAAGATTAGAGAGCAGAGAAATCAAAGAAAAAATGTTCTATAGAAACTATTTATCAGTTCTGTATAACACCAGAGCAAGAGCAGGTTTAAACCATTGATCAGATGAAATTTTGGATCAATAACTGGGTAAGATAAGCCTATTATTAAGGAAATGAAACTATAGCATAGAGTCTTCGTAGAGTCTGTAAATGACTGTGACTTCAGGAAGATGTGATTTTTTAAAATTGTTTTATTGGTTTTTCCCACTCCCACCCTCCCCTCCTTGTACATGAAATTTATACATCCAACTACCGGCTGTTAGGAATTGTGGGAGTTGAAGTCCAAAACACGTGGAGGTCCAGAGTTTGCTCATACCTGGATATAATAACAATAACAATAATAATAAATGTATTTACCTGCCTCTCCCTGCAGCTTGGTGAGGGATACAACATTATTTAAACAAGGGATGAAACACTATTAAAAGACATACTACAGCAGTGTTTCTCAACCTGGGGGTCAGGACCCCTGGGGGGGTTGCGAGGGGGTGTCAGAGGGGTCGCCAAAGACCATCAGAAAACATAGTATTTTCTGTTGGTCATAGCGGTTCTGTGTGGAAAGTTTGGTCCAATTCTATCATTGGTGGGGTTCAGAATGCTATTTCATTGTGGGTAAACTATAAATCCCAACAACTACAACTCCCAAATGGCAAGGTCTATTTTCTCCAAACTCTACCAGTGTTCTCATTTGGGCATATGGAGTATTTGTGCCAAGTTTGATCCAGATCCATCATTGCTTGAGTCCACAGTATTCTCTGGGTGTAGGTGAACTACAACTCCAAAAACTCAAGGTCAATGTCCACCAGACCTTCCCAGTATTTTCTCTTGGTCATGGGAATTCTGTGTGCCATGTTTGATTCAATTCCATCATTGATGGAGTTCAGAAGGCTCTTTGATTTAAGGTGAACTATAAATCCCAGCAACTCCAGCAAATGACAACATCAATCACCCCCCAACCCCACCAGTATTCAAATTTTGGATATTTACATTACAATTCACAACAGTAGCAAAATTACAGTTATGAAGTAGCAACGAAAATAACGTTATGGTTGGGGGTCATCACAACATGAGGACCTGTACTAAGGGGTCGCGGCATTAGGAAGGTTGAGAAACACTGTAACTACAGGGTTAAAATGCAAGTTTAAATCCATTGATAAAGTGCAGATTAAAATGCATATTGTTGCCTTGGGGAGAAGGGTGGAGAAATCCCCTTCCCGTCCTCATTCATTTTGTGTCTCTTGCAAAGCAACGGAGAGTTCCAATCCTGCTCAGCTCATTTCCTGCTCAGGATAAAATGCGTTTCCTAGCCAAGTGGACCCTTGACCTCTGTTTTGGCCCAAGCCAAATGTTTGCTTTCCACATTTTCCAACCCGGTTTGACAGAGGAAGGGGAAAGAGACATACATACTAGGGGTGCATCTACACTGTAGAATTTATTTATATGTTTATTTTCTTAAAGTATTTATATTCCATCCTTCTCCCCCCCCCCCCCCCCCGTGGACTCAGGGCAGATTACCGTCCACTTGTGACACCGAGTCCTTTGATGGAGTACTTCCTCATTCTTCTGCATGTGGCTGGAGGGTTTTATGGCATTGTAAATTAGGTAAATTAGCCTCCCCTCATAAAGCAGTACCTAAATTTTCTACTTGACAGATTCAACTGTCTTTCGGGCTGCATAGGTTGATAGCAAGCTAGACTATTAATGTTCGGGAGCTCACTCCAACCCAGGCTGGCTTCGGCCAGTAGTGATTTAATGCAGATGGCTACTACATATAACTGGCATCGTAAATTAGGTAAATTAGCCTCCCCGCATAAAGCGGTACCTAAATTTCCTACTTGACAGATTCAAATGTCTTTTGGACTGCATAGGTTGACAGCAAGCTAGACTATTAATGTTCGGGAGCTCACTCCAACCCAGGCTGGCTTCGGCCAGTAGTGATTTAATGCAGATGGCTACTACACATAACTGGCATCGTAAATTAGGTAAATTAGCCTCCCCGCATAAAGCGGTACCTAAATTTCCTACTTGACAGATTCAAATGTCTTTTGGACTGCATAGGTTGACAGCAAGCTAGACTATTAATGTTCGGGAGCTCACTCCAACCCAGGCTGGCTTCGGCCAGTAGTGATTTAATGCAGATGGCTACTACACATAACTGGCATCGTAAATTAGGTAAATTAGCCTCCCCGCATAAAGCGGTACCTAAATTTCCTACTTGACAGATTCAAATGTCTTTTGGGCTGCACAGGTTGACAGCAAGCTAGACTATTAATGGTCGGGAGCTCACTCCGACCCGGGCAGGCTTTGGTCAGTAGTGATTTAATGCAGCTGGCTACTACGCATAACTAGCTACGCCACAGCAGCTTGCAAACTACAACTCCCAAGATTCCATTGCATGGAGCCATGGCAGCTAAAGTGGTGTCAAACTGCGTTAATTCTACAGTGTAGATGCATTCTAGGTCTGGAGAGATAGAAAACGACAATTGGGCTTCGTGCTTTGCAGGATCCATACTTATGCCATAAGGAGAGGTAGGTAATAAATATGTTGTTGTCATGGTGGTGGTTGTTGTTGTTATATGCTCCTTTGTTTTGACCTCTATTCTCAGCTCCATCAGTTGGTCCTGGAATCGGCCCGAGAGAAGCGGGACATGGAGCAGCGGCACACGGTCATCAAGCAGAAGGTGCGCTTTGGGTGATCTATTGGGGCGCATCTACACTATGGAATTAATGCAGTTTGGCACCACTTTAACTGCTATGGCTCAAGTGCTATAGAACCTGGAGAGTCATAGATTTGCAAAGTCTTTGGCCTTCCCTGCCAAAGGGTACTGGGGCCTCACCAAACTAGAACTCCCAAGACTCCATAGCACTGAGCCATAGCAGTTAAAGTGGTGTCAAACTGCATTCATTCTCCAGTGTAGCTGCATCCAAGGAAAATAGAGCAACATGTAAGTACTATATAGCTTACTGGAGGAGGAAGGTTGAATATCATCAAGCATCCATACTCCAAAGTGGGAATAATAGTGCTCCCAATGAGAGGACTATAACTCCCATAATCTACCAGAAGCTTCTGGATTATGGGGTCTGAAGTCCCAAACATCTGGAGACAATTGGGGCAACTATCTTATAATCATAGAGTTGGAAGAGACTTGGAGGGCCATCCAGTCCAACCCCATTCAGCCAAGAAGCAGAAAAATTGCATTCAAAGCACCCCCGAGAGATGGCCATCCAGCCTCTGCTTAAAAGCTTTCAAAGAAGGAGCCTCCTCCACACTCCGGGGCAGAGAGTTCCACTGCTGAACAGCTCTCACAGTCAGGAAGTTCTTCCTAATGTTCAGGTGGAATCTCCTTTCCTGTAGTTACACATTAACACAAAAGGAAACGCTTACGTATATTCTCCCTCCACAATTGGACTGCAATTCCCATCAGCTCTAGTTCTTTAATTGTCTCTCTCCTGGTGTGTCAATCATCTGTTTATTTGGGACAGAATTTTCGGGATTTTTTAAAATAAAATAAAAACTTTGATTTATGGGAATACCTTGTTATGATGTAATGGGTTTGGCCTTTTCTCCGTTTTGTAGGATTTGTCCCAGGACGATGTGATTCCCGAAATTAAGACGGAGCCCGGCGGAGTGGTGATGGAAGGCTATTTGTACAAACGGGCCAGCAATGCTTTCAAGACCTGGAGCAGGTGGGCACCAACAAACCATGATCTATCATGGATTAAACAAGGCAGGTTTTGTAAGGCAACAATAAACTACTATCTTTTTTTTGTATTTCAATGACAGGCGCTGGTTTTCCATCCAGAGCAATCAACTGGTCTATCAGAAAAAGGCCAAGGTAAAGGGATGGTTTTTTTTTATTTTCGTTGCTGTTTCTTATCTGGAATGTGTCAATAGGGAAAGAATTTAGGAAAACAAATATGGAAACTCTTGAGTTCACATTGTCGTACATTAGTGCAGGAAAACCTCTGACTTTTATTGCTTGGTAAAATCTTGGTAAAATCATCTTAGCTTGGTAAAATCATCAAGCAGTTTATTGAAGAATATATGTCGGCAAAGCAGTAAAAATAGCAAAACTGTAAAGACCCAATACAAGTGAAATAGTCCTAAACCTCAAAGGAAAGCAAGATCCAAAGTACATAAAACCCATGGAACTAGGCATTTGGAACCATGAAACTAACCAGCAGAAAATGGGAGCTTGGCAAGAACTTGGTACATGAAACTAAGAGCATTTGAAAACAAGACAAATGATCGATTTCCAACGTTGACCCGAATGAGGCAACATTTTCTCATGCATCAATATTATTTATTTATTTATTTATTTATTTCGCGCATTTCTACCCCGTCCTACTCAACCCCCGAGGGGGGATTCAGGGCGGCTTACAAAAGGCACAATTCGATGCCAACACAAACAATAAGATAAAAACATATATCAACAGCAATTATAAAACAATTAAAACAATCAATTATACATCACAATCCCTAAAACCAGTCTAATGTTCAACGTTCACCAGCTCAGAGTCCATAAATTCATTCCACATTGTCAAATCCTATCAGTTCTAGTCGTCATTGTCCTTTGTCTATCTGCCAGATTACCCAAAGCCCTGGTCCCATATCCATGTTTTTAGTTTCCTTCTAAAAGAGAGGAGGGATGTCGATGGCCTAATTTCCCCGGGAAGTGAATTCCACAGGCGAGGGGCCACCACCGAGAAGGCCCTGCTCATCATCCCCACCAATCTCACTTGTGATAAAGGTGGTGCCGAGAGCAGGGCCTCCTCAGAAGATCTTAAACTCCGAAGCGGGATGTAGAAGGAGATGCGTTTGGACAGATACGCTGGGCCGGAACCGTATAGGGTTTTGTAGGTAAAAACCAGCACTTTGAATTGTGCTCGGAACTGGATATAAGGCTTTTCCAGGTTCTAAAACTGAAAGCAAAGCATTTTTTCTTGACCTTTCTACCAGATAATAGATTGTTACCTTTCTTTTGCTCTAAGCAAACAGACTGTCTGTTTTCAGACTCTGCGTTTGCAGAAACTTTGGTTTCTGTCTAATCTCTGAGCTCTAATTATTTTCTGCACTTGACAAATTATCTTCAGACAGTTGTTCTGAGAAAGGTTGTGAAGGGCCCCTCTCAAGAATGTGGCCTTGGGAATCTCCCTCTTCCTGAAACTGCTCAGGCCTCTTGTCTAGCTTAACTCAGGCGTAAGCAAACTCTCATCCCCAAAGCCACCAGCAGGAACATCATCCTCATTCCCATCATGAACATCATCATTAACATGAATATCAGACACAATCACAGGCTGAACATACAACACACATTCATTTGGGTCTCATTTCCATAAGTTTCCATCCTGTGGCTTTGGGGTTTCTGGGAGTTATTGCCCCCCAAAAGTATTATTGGGTTGTTATCAGAGGAATTGTTTTTATTATTCGGAGGAAAATGGGAATTGTTTAATGTTTAAAATGGGAATGGGACTGGATGATATTTGGGGTGAGAAGAAGGGGCCAAATTAATGTGTAACAATCCTTCTCTGCATTTGCTTTGCTCTCTGCTTTCTGCACATGCTCAGGATGTGGTAACAGTGGTTGTGGAAGACCTGCGGCTCTGTACAGTCAAGCCCTGCCCCGATCATGAACGTCGCTTCTGCTTTGAGGTGGTCTCGCCCTCCAAGTGAGTCTTTAGCTGGGCCCCCATTGTTGTTGTTATTATTATTACTATTATTATGTTTATTATACCTTGCTTTTTCTCTCCACAAGGAGACTCAAAGCGGCTTCCATTGCGTAGCCCTGCAGGTCTGACTCTGAGTTGGGAAAAGTGAGCTTTCTTTAGATACTCACTCCCAGGATTGTTTACAGAAAGTCGAGCCAAGTTTAAACCAATGATTGATGCTTTAAACAAACCCAAGTTTCAGAGGACAACCACAAACTGTGATAAGCCATGGTTTAAAGAAGTTATGTTTCAGAAGACAATAGCAAGCTGTGGTAAACCAGGGCATAGACTACTGCAATGTGCTCTGCATGGGGTTGCCTTTGAAGACTGTTCGGAAGCTGCAAGTGGTCCAATGGGTGGCAGCCAGGTTGTTAACAGGAGCGGCGCTCAGGGAGCACACAACTCCTCTTTTACACCAACTCCACTGGCTGCCAGTTGCTTCCGGGCACAGATCAAAGTGCTGGCTTTAGCCTATAAAGCCCCAAATGGTTTCAGTCCAACTTACCTATCCGAATGTATGACTCCTTATGAACCATCTAGGATAGTGGTTCTCAACCTGGGGTCCCCAGATGTTTTTGGCCTACAACTCCTAGAAATCCCAGCTAGTTTACCAGCTGTTAGGATTTCTGGGAGTTGTAGGCCAAAAACATCTGGGGACCCCAGGTTGAGAACCATTGATTTCTAGGACATTAAGATTGTCTGGGGAGGCCCTGCTCTCGTTCCCACCTTCCTCATAGATGCGTTTGGCAGGGACGAAAGACAGGGCCTTCTTAGTGGTGGCCCCTCGACTGTGGAACACCCTGCCTAATGATATAAGATCGGCCCCCTCCCTCCTGACTTTTCAAAGAAAGGTGAAAACCTGGCTTTTTGAACAGGCCTTCTCAAATACGGCATAGTTATACAAAATCACGGAACTGCTTGACGACACAATTGAATAATGACTTGACATGGAGACGCTCACAATAATGTTTTTAAAACTTTGTATGTTTTTTTATATTATTATATTGTATGGTAATGTTTTTAACAGTATTTTATTATTGTTTTACTTGTTGAAATTGTTGAGACATCGAATTGTTGCCAATTGTGAACCGTTCCGAGTCACCTCTGGGCTGAGAGAGGCGGTATATAAATGTAGTAAATAAACAAACAAATAAATGATTTAAGAAGTTATGCTTCAGAAGACAATAGCAAGCTGTGATAAAACATAGTTTAAGGAAGTCAGGTTGCAAAAGCCAACACATGTGATAAACCATGGTTTAAATAAGTCATATTTCAGAAGCCAACCACAAGCCATGATAAACCATGGTTTAGGCAAGTCAGATTTCCCAAAATAAATTGTGATAAGACATGTGCTGCTGGCTAGGAGATTCTGGCAGCTGAAATATAAGGGAAGTTCACTTTTCCCAACTTTGTTTTACTCACCTGCAGAATGTGGCTTTTGGAGGTGAAGGTGAGCCTTTTGTGGCATTTCCAGGAGACCCTTGAACTCTGAATTTGGGACTGAGGAGCCGTTCCCCTTCCCTTTCTTGACTCCTTTTTGCCTTTCTGTTTCCTTGGGCAGGAGCTGTCTTCTCCAGGCAGACTCGGAAAGGCACCAGCAGGCCTGGGTTTGTGCCGTTCAGAACAGCATTGCGTCGGCTTACAACGAGGAGCGGCCAGAATTCCCTGGGCAGGTAAGGCCCCAAAGGAAACTTTTCTACCTGGAGGGGGAAATACGGGCATTTCGGCAAACCTACAGAACCGATCTTGTTCATAACTTGGGAACTGCCTGTACAGTGGCCCCGTGACTTCTCTCTCTATTTCTATTGATCCAGCCTGGGATTGCATTGGCTTTTTGACTGCTGTGTCATACTATTAGCTTACATTGACTTGTGGTCTACTACGACCCCAAGATCCCTTTGACATTTCTGAACCTTGTACTCTGTTTGAATGAAAGGACTCGCAGGTGATCCTGTTCCTTTCCGGGCTGGGTTTTAGCACAGCTGGTAAATCACCAGGAATGATAAGATCTATTTTATTTATTTTTATTTTGAGCATTTATATTAAAATCACTCTGACCAAAAAGGTCATGAGTTCAAAGCCAGCCCGGGTTGGAGTGGGTTTCCAACCAATTGTGTAGCCTGTTGTCGACCTTTGCAACCCAAAAGACAGTTGCATCTGTCAAGTAGGAAAATTAGGTACCACCTTAAAGTGTGGGGAGGCTAAATTAACTGATTTATGAGGCCATAAGAAAGACTCCAGCAAAGCACTCTAACAAAAGCATGCGGGGAATGCGGAAGTACTTCATCAGTGTTGCAGATGGACGATGAAAGCAACAGCTCCCCTGGCAGCCAGAAAAAGTTAAATAGCCTCTGTCTGTGTCTGTATATGTTGTATGTCAAAATTGGCATTGAATGTTTGCCATATATGTGTACACTGTAGTCCACCCTGAGTCCCCTGCGGGGTGAGAAGAGTGGAATATAAATACTGTAAATAAGTAAATAAATAAATAATATCCCGTTCTTCTCACCTCCAAAGAGGGACTCCGGATGGTTTACAATAGGCAACCATTAGATGCCAAACAATACATTAAAGCACAGAGTTACAATTAAAACAGCAATTAAAACCATTATAAACATTCAATTTAAAACAGTCCGTATGACAGTATATAAATCAATTCTGGCATTTTCTTACATTAACTAATAATGTCTAAATCTAAGTACATTCTAAATCTAAATGTATAATATTCACATAAAGTAATTGATTTATTATAACTATTTCAAAAGATTGCCAGTTCAAATCCCCGAGTTGGCATGAGCTCCCGACTGTCAGCCCAGCTTACTGTTTACCTAAGCCAGGAGTCCACAAACTTTTTAAACAGAGGGCCAGGTCACAGTCCCTGAAACTGTTGGAGGGACGGATTATAATTTCAAAAAAAACATGAATGAATTCCTATGCACACTGCACATATCTTATTTGTAGTGCAAAAACCACTTGAAAACAATACAATAATTAAAATGAAGAACAATTTTAACAAATATAAATTTATTAGTATTTAAATAGGAAGTGTGGGCCTACTTTTGGCTGATGAGATAGGATTGTTGTTGTTGTGTGCAACCTAAGTCATTACAGACTTTGGTTGACCCCAAGCGAGGGCCGGGTAAATGACCTTGGAGGGCCGCATTTGGCCCCCGGGCCTTAGTTTGAGGACCCCTGATCTAAGCAGTTTGAAAACTGCTTGAGCTGTAAGTAGAGAAATTAGGTAGCGCTAAAACTAGCGGAGGAGATATTTTAAAATACTAGAAAGAAAAACATCAGAAAAAATGCCCGGCAACCAAAAGGAAGTAGGAAGTCCTGATGGCTCTTTGTCATAGAGCTATGTTTCTCAACCTGTGGATCCCCAGGTGTTTTGGCCTACAACTCCCAGAAATCCCAGCCAGTTTACCAACTGTTAGGATTTCTGGGAGCTGAAGGCCAAAAACATCTGGGGACCCCAGGTTGAGAACCACTGTCATAGAGGATGAGTGACAGCACCTCCCTGTGGCTGGATTAGAGCACAACCTCCAAAGACGCCAAACACTTGGATGTGGACACAACATACCTCCTTTCTGTTCTGTCTGTCTCTGTCCTGTCTATCCAAAATGGTACTGAATGTTTGCCATGTATATGTACTGTGATCTGCCCTGAGTCCCCTTGGGGAGATAGGCCGGAATATGAATAAAGTGTTGTTGTTGTTGTTATTATTATTATTATTCCCCACAGGCCCTGGAACGGACGACCTCCCTCTCGGCCACGCTCCAGTCTCCATCCAGCCGCAAACTCCGGGGAGGAGTGGACAAGCACGTGGTGGACCAAGTGCAGCGGCTGGAGGGAAACGCCCAGTGCTGCGACTGCCGTGAACCGGCCCCCGAATGGGCCAGCATCAACCTGGGCATCACCCTTTGCATCGAATGCTCCGGCATACACAGGTGAGTTAGTATTTCCGGCAGCAATGATGGGAGATGTAGTACACAACCAAGGGCTGCTCTTTGCATTCTGCAAAAGGAGAGGGGCTTGAGGCAGGTGGGAGGAGCCTTACCCAGATTTGGTGGGATGATGGGAGTTGTAGTGGGAGGGCACCAAATTGAAGACGGCTGGGCATGGATATCACCGTCGGAACGTAACAAGTTACAAGTAACTTGGCAGATAGGAATGAAAGTTTGGTTCGGTGGAGAAGCTGCAACAAGATTGCATGTCAAAAATCATTCAGAAAATAGAAAACCGTGTTACTGAATTGATGAAACAATATTTTCTAGTTACATTTTGGAAACAAGGTCTCAAGTATTTTCATTACTGGGTTGTTGTAGGGTTTTTTGGGCTATATGGCCATGTTCTAGAGTCATTCTCTCCTGACGTTTCGCCTGCATCTATGGCAAGCATCCTCAGAGGTAGTGAGGTCTGTTGGAACTAGGAAAATGGGTTTATATATCTGTGGAATGACCAGGGTGGGACAAAGGACTCTTGTCTGCTGGAGCTAGGTGTGAATGTTTCAACTGACCACCTTGACTAGCATATAATGGCCTGACAGTGCCTGGAGCAAACTTTTGTTGAGAGGTGATTAGATGTCCTTGTTTGTTTCCTCTCTGTTGTTGTGCTGTTGTAATTTTAAGAGTTTTTTTTTAATATTGGTAGCCAGATTTTGTTCATTTTCATGGTTTCCTCCTTTCTGTTTTCATAATATTTTCATTATTTCTTAATTCCTCACATTCGATCCAACTCTAGCTAGGTTTGGAAATAAGATGACCGACCAATAACAGCAGATGAAACTGAAAAAAATAACTTCCCAAAGCTGATTAAGTTTTAATTTGCAGTTTTGTGACTGGGCTTGAGAACCATAGGTGCATCTACACTGTAGAATTATCACAGTTTGATTCCACTTTCACTGCCACGGATCATTGCTATGGGTTTGTAGTTTAGTGGGGCTCCAGCCCTGTCTGGCAGAGAAGGCTTTGTTTATTATCATGTCAGAAGTGATTTGAGAACATACTGCAAGTCGCTTCTGGTGTGAGAGAATTGCCCAGGAGACGCTTGGATGTGTTACTATCCTGTGGGAGGCTTCTCTCATGTCTCTGCATGGAAAGCTGGGGCTGATAGATGGGAGCTCACCCCATCTCCTAGATTCAAACCATCAACCTTCAGGTCAGCAGTTCAACCAGCACAAGGGTTTAACACAGGCATGGGCAAACTTTGTCCCTCCAGGTGTTTTGGACTTCCACAATTCCTAACAGCCTACCGGCTGTTAGGAATTGTGGGAGTTGAAGTCCAAAACACCTGGAGGGACAAAGTTTGCCCGTGCCTGGGTTAACCCACTGCACCACTGCAATGGCTAAAATCTTTGTAAAACTACACACCCCATTATTCCTAGCATTGAGCCTTAGGTATCAAAGTGGTGTCTGTGTTAATTCTACAGTGTAGATGTGCTCCTTCTCTCCATCTTCATACAGGAGTCTGGGTGTCCATTTCTCCAAGGTGCGATCCCTAACGCTCGATTCCTGGGAACCGGAGCTTGTTAAGGTAAAACAGGAGATCTGTGCAAACTAGTTAATTGCAAAACGCCTATTTAAATAAAAATATCATCAAATAGACCCTGGGTGCATCTACACTGTAGCATTAATGCAGTTTGATTCCATTTATTTTAATGTATTTTTAATTTTTTATTCTTAATTATAATATTATAAAATTTTGTATTTTATTATTATACACTGCTGTATTATTTTGATGTTATATTTATTATTATTTAATATAGTATTTTTATTACATATAAATTTGTATTTATATTCTATCGCATAATAATATCTAATAATATATTTTATTATGTTCAATACTGTTTCAATATTTGTATTATTTTGATGTTATATTTATTATTATGTAATATAGTATTTTTATTATATATACATTTGTATTTATATTCTATTATATAATAATATCTAATAATATATTTTATTATGTTTAATGCTGTTTTAATATTTGTATTATTTTGATGTTATATTTATTATTATATAATATTGTATTTTTATTATATATAAATTTGTATTTATTTTCTAATATCTAATAATATTGAATAATATATTTTATTATGTTTAATACTGTTTTAATATTTGTATTATTTTGATGGTATATTTATTATTGTGTAGTATACTATTTTTATTATATATACATTTGTATTTATATTATATTACATAATAATATCTAATAATATATTATGTTTAATGCTGTTTCAATATTTGTATTATTTTGATGTTATATTTATTATTATATAATATTGTATTTTTATTATATATAAATTTGTATTTATTTTCTAATATCTAATAATATTGAATAATATATTTTATTATGTTTAATACTGTTTTAATATTTGTATTATTTTAATTTTATATTATTATTATATAATATTGTATTTTATTATATATAAATTTGTATTTATATTCTAATATCTAATAATATCTAACAATATATTTTATTATGTTTAATACTATTTTAATATTTGTATTATTTTGATGTTATATTTATTATTATATAATATAGTATTTATTATTATATATACATTTTATTTATATTCTATTWTATAATAATACCTAATAATATATTTTATTATGTTTAATACTGTTTTAATATTTGTATTATTTTGATGTTATATTTATTATTATATAATATAGTATTTATTATTATATATACATTTTATTTATATTCTATTATATAATAATACCTAARAATATATTTTATTATGTTTAATACTGTTTTAATATTTGTATTATTTTGATGTTATATTTATTATTATATAATATTGTATTTTTTATTATATATACATTTGTATTTATATTCTATTATATAATAATATCTAATAATATATTATATTATGTTTAATGCTGTTTTAATATTTGTATTTTTAAAAACTGTATTGTAATGCTTTTCATGTTAGCCACTATTGGAAATCAATAGTAGAAAATGGCTTAAAGTGCAAAAGACGAAGAGTGAATACCGTAAAAATACGGTGCAGAGCAGAAGAGAAAACTAGCAAAAGAAGGCTCTCCATGGACAGTTCCTGGGGAAAACAGAGCAAAATGGATAAGGAAAAACATGGCTGTGGCTCACAAATGGAACTCGGAAAAAGGAGACAAAGGAGGGCCTGATTCTGGCAGCCCAAGAACAAGCTATTCGAACCAAGGCCATCAAAGCCAGAATTGAAAAGTCGACAACAGATCCCAAGTGTAGACTCTGCAAGGAAGCAGATGAAACAAACAATCACATCCTCAGCTGCTGCAAGAAGATCGGCAGACAGACTACAAGCAGAGGCACAACACCATTGCTCAGATAATTCATTGGAACTTGTGCCACAAATACCACCCTCCTGCGACAAAGAACTGGTGGGATCACAAGCCAGAAAAGTTACATAGAAAGAACACGCCAAACTCCTCTGGGACTAATGGATTCAGACAGACAGAGTTTTGGAGCACAATACTCCTGACTTCATGATCGTGTTAAAAAACCAAGTATGGATCGTCAGTGTTGCCATCCCAGGTGACGGCAGGATTGAAGAGAAACAACTGGAAATGATGACACAATATGAGGATTTAAAGATTCAACTGCAAAGACTCTGGCACAAGCCAGTCAAGGGGGTCCCAGTGGTGATCGGCACACTGGGTGCAGTGCCTAAAGACCTTGGCCTGCACTTAAACACAATCAGCGCTGACAAAATCACCACCTGTCAGCTGCAAAAGGTCACCCTACTTGCGGATACATCACATAGTCCTGGACACTTGGAAAGTGTCCCTTCCTTAGCGATCCCTCGTTGGACGAGTAGGATAGTCTTCCATGATCAGTATTCTTGTGGATCCGTAGGCGGCTGTGGAGCCCTACTCTTGACCTGCATCTTCTCCCGCAGTGAGGGCATTGGTTTCCAGGTGGAAGGCAGTCCTGGTTGGGGTTGGCTTGACGCGCCTTCCTCTTGGCACATTTCTCTCTTTCGCCTTCCATTCGGGCCTCTTCAAATTCTGCAGCACTGCTGGTCACAGCTGACCTCCAGATGGAGTGCTCAAGGGTCAGGGCTTCTCAGTATCTATGCCAGAGATTTTAAGGTTGGCTTTGAGCCCCTCTTTAAATCTCTTTTCCTGTCCTCCAACATTCCATTTTCATTCTTGAGTTTGGAGTAGAGCAATTGCTTTGGGAGGCGGTGGTCAGGCATCCAGACAACGTGGCCGGTCCAGGAGAGTTGATGGTGGAGGACCATCGCTTCAATGCTGGTGGTCTTTGCTTCTTCCAGCATGCTGACATTTATCCGCTTGTCTTCTCAAAACATTTGCAGGATTTTACGGAGGCAGCTCTGATGGAATCGTTCCAGGAGTTGAGTGTGATGTCTGTAGACAGTCCATGTTCCACAGGCATATAGCAGGGTTGGGAGGACAATAGCTGTATAGACAAGCACCTTGGTATCCCTACGGATGTCCCGGTCCTCAAACACTCTCTGCTTCATTCGAAAAAGCTGCACTCGCAGAGCTCAGGCAGTGTTGTATTTCAGTGTCAATGTTGACTTTTGTGGAGAGGTGGCTGCCAAGGGAGCGGAAATTGTCCACATTTTCTAATGTTACACCATTAAGCTGTATCTCTGGCATTGGAGAGGGATTGGCTGTGATCCTACGTGTGATCCAATACAAAAGCCAGCAGAGTGAACTTGTTTGCTGTGTACTAATCTTGTTGTGTACCTAATAATAATAATAATAATAATAATAATAATAATAATAATAATAATAATAGAATTATTGGAGATTGAGAAGGATTGGTATAAATGTTCTAAATAAATAAATAAATAAATAATAGAATCATGGCAATTATGGTTTTAAAGGGCCTTTAAGCAGCTGAGATTCATTGTTGGTCTCCCGTCCAAATCCTAACCTAGACTGACCCTGCTTAGCTTCCAAGACTTGACAGACTCTGTTGCCTTTAGGTTATTTCTCCCTGTTTTTACCCATTTTTTATCTGTTTTAATAATTTTCTGAGCTGCCTCATATTTCAGGCGTAAGGAAAAGAGGGTCTATCAATCAGATTAAGAATTAAAACTCTATCTCCCATCATCCACAGCTGATGTGCGAACTGGGGAACCTCCGCATCAACCAGATCTATGAGGCTCGGGTGGAGGAGATGAACATGAAACGACCACATTCCGGCTGTTCAAGGTAAGACCAGTGTACGTCATTCCCCACCTGCCCAGTAGGTGGCGCTGTTACAGGTGTCAAGTTTCACTAGGATGATGAACGAAGCATGTGCAAAGTTAACTTCTAAGCACTTGCTTGCTTGCTTGCATGCTGGTCGCTTCTGTGGTGATCTTCAGAAGCATCCCGAGCTCTGAAGATCACCTGGGAAGGAATCCCACTGGAGCATTGCAGCGCACCCAAATACCTGGGAGTCACTCTGGACCGTGCTCTTACCTACAAGAAACACTGCCTGAACATCAAGCAAAAAGTGGGTGCTAGAAACAATATCATACGAAAGCTGACTGGCACAACCTGGGGATCACAACCAGACACAGTGAAGACATCTGCCCTTGCGCTGTGCTACTCTGCTGCTGAGTACGCATGCCCAGTGTGGAACACATCTCACACACTAAAACAGTGGATGTGGCTCTTAATGATACATGCCGCATTATCACAGGGTGTCTGCGCCCTACACCACTGGAGAAATTACACTGCTTAGCCGGTATTGCACCACCTGACATCCGCCGGGAAGTAGCAGCCAATAGTGAAAGGACCAAGGCAGAGACATCTCCAGCTCATCCCCTGTTTGGGTATCAGCCAGCACGCCAACGACTTAAATCTAGACATAGTTTTCTAAGATCTACAGAGACACTCGCTGGAACACCTCAGCAAGCGAGAGTCCAAAAGTGGCAGGCTCAAACCCAGCACCTCAACCAATGGCTGATACCAAATGAGAGACTCCCTCCTGGGCACACAGATGACTGGGCGACTTGGAAGGTGCTGAACAGATTGCGTTCTGGCACCACAAGATGCAGAGCCAACCTTCAGAAATGGGGCCACAAAGTGGAATCCTCAACATGCGAGTGCGGAGAGGAGCAAACCACTGACCACCTGCTGCAATGCAACCTGAGCAACCTGGAGGACCTTCTTGCAGCAACACCAGAGGCACTCCAAGTGGCCAGATACTGGTCAAAGGACATTTAATCAACTACCAAACTCACAAATTCTGTATTTTGTCTGTTTGTTTGCTTTGTTCTGTTAGAAATGTAATATAATTTGACTGGTTGTCCCGACACGACAAATAAATACTTCGAAGCACTGCTTGATGAAGCTTCTGATGGGGTTTCCCTATTTTTCCTACCCAGGGCAGAGAAGGAGGCCTGGATCCGAGCCAAGTACGTGGAAAAGAAATTCATCACCAAGTTCCCCAAGACTGGGTTGCGAAGTAGTCGGAGCGGAGAGAGTGGTGGGTTTGCGAAGCCCCCAAAACCTTTCCCCAAGCCCAAGCCTCCGCGACAGACACGAGGGACCACAGGTAAGGGAGGAAACCCACAGGTTGGGAAAAAATCCCAGTTGTCACAATGGTTGGATAGTGCAACCATCAGAACAACACAGGACAAATTAGCCAGGAGCAGGCATGGGCAAACTTGGGCCCTCCAGGTGTTTTGGACTTCAACTCCCACAATTCCTAACAACCAATGTCTTTGGGCTAGGCATAGGCAAACTTGGGCCCTCCAGGTGTTTTGGACTTCAACTCCCACAATTCCTAACAGCCTGTGAGTTTGGGCTAGGTATAGGCAAACTTGGGCTCTCCGGGTGTTTTGGACTTTGACTCCCACAATTCCTAACAGCCAGTGACTTTGGGCTAGGTATAGGCAAACTTGGGCTCTCCAGGTGTTTTGGACTTCAACTCCCACAATTCCTAACAGCCAGTGACTTTGGGCTAGGTATAGGCAAACTTGGGCCCTCCAGGTGTTTTGGACTTCAACTCCCACAATTCCTAACAGCCAGTGAGTTTGGGCTAGGTATAGGCAAACTTGGGCTCTCCGGGTGTTTTGGACTTTGACTCCCACAATTCCTAACAGCCAGTGACTTTGGGCTAGGTATAGGCAAACTTGGGCCCTCCAGGTGTTTTGGACTTCAACTCCCACAATTCCTAACAGCCAGTGACTTTGGGCTAGGTATAGGCAAACTTGGGCCCTCCAGGTGTTTTGGACTTCAACTCCCACAATTCCTAACAACCAATGTCTTTGGGCTAGGCATAGGCAAACTTGGGCCCTCCAGGTGTTTTGGACTTCAACTCCCACAATTCCTAACAGCCTGTGAGTTTGGGCTAGGTATAGGCAAACTTGGGCTCTCCGGGTGTTTTGGACTTTGACTCCCACAATTCCTAACAGCCAGTGACTTTGGGGTACATATAGGCAAACTTAGGCCCTCCAGCTGTTTAGGACTCCAACTCCCACAATTCCTAAGAACCAGTGACTTTGGGCTAGCTATAGGCAAACTTGGGCCTTCCAGGTGTTTTGGACTTCAACTCCCACAATTCCTAACATCTGATGTTACTATAAATGGGTGCAGGTGTATTCAATGGTCGATACAGTTAGAGTTGCAGAATAATTCCGCTTTCTCATACATCTTTTCCCCTTTTTTCCAGGCAGTACTCCGAACCGTTCCAGCCCCATCCCAGGTAGGGTAGTTGTGGGTCCCAACATTTCTGTTGCACACTTTGGTTGTGTTGCTGGTGTTTTGTTTTGTCTGTGAGCACAGACTACACAGAAAGGCAGGTATTGCTGGTGGTGAATAAGCTGGGTTGGTTTTCAGGGGTAGAAGCAGAGAATCTGCTCCTTATTTTAGCCCGAACTGTAAAGCCTCTCTCTCCAAAGTACTAGATCTGTAGTACATTTCCGATATCGGTTTTCAAAATTCAAGGAAAAGTCTGAGGTGGATTCTTTGCCCTGCTGACACGGAAGCTGTTAGCCAGGTCCTTCCTTCTTTCCCTCCTTTTTCTTCTTTCCTTTCTTTTGCTCTTTCCACCTGTTTACTCTTCTCTTTCTTCCTCTCTCTCTTCCTCCTCTTCTCCCTCTCTGTCCTTCATTTCTTCCTTTGCTCATTCCTTCCCTCCTTCCCTTCTTTCCATCTGTTTACTCCTCTTTTCCTTTTCCTCTGCTTCACCCTCTCTGTCCTTCCTTCCTTGCTCCCTTTTATTTTTTCCTTCTGTCCACCACTTCTTTTCTTTCTTTCCCTTTCTATTCCTCTCCTTCCTTCCTTCCTTCCTTCCTTCCTTCCTTCCTTCCTTCCTTCCTTCCTTCTCTTCTTCTTTCCTTCCATCCCTCCTTCTGTTTCTCCCTCTCTGTCCTTCCTTCCCTTTTTTTCCTTCTTCTTCCTCAGCTTCTCCCTCTGTGTCTTTTCTTTCTTTCCTTCCCTCACTTCCCTTCTTCCCTTCTTTCTGCCTATTTACTCCTCTATTCCTCTTCTCCTCCTCCTTCCCTCCCTGATTCCTTCCTTCCTTCCTTCCCTTCTTTCCACTTGTTTACTCCTCTATTCCTCTTCCCCCTTTTCTCACTCTCCTTCCCTCCTTCCTTCCCTTCTTTCCTTCTCTTTACTCCTCTCTTCCTCTTCCTCCTCTTCTCCATCTCCTTCCTTTTCTTCTTTAATTTTTTCCACCTGTTTACTCCTCTCTTCCTCTTCCTGCTCTTCTCTGACTCCTTCCTTCATTTCCTTCTGTTTACTCCTCTCTTCCTCTTCCTGCTCATCTCCCTCTTCCTTCCTTCCTTCCTTCCTTCCTTCCTTCCTTCCTTCCTTCCTTCCTTCCTTCCTTCCTTCCTTCCCTTCTTCCCTTTTGTTTACTCCTCTATTCCTCTTCCCCCTCTTCTCCATGTCCTTCCTTTTCTTCTTTCCACCTGTTTATTCCTCTCTTCCATTTCCTCCTCTTCCCCCTCTTTGTCCTTCCTTCCCTTTTTATTTTTTCCTTCCTTTCCTTTTTCCCACCTGTTTACTCCTTCTTTTCCTTCTCTTTCCCCTCTCTTTCCTTACTTCTTTCTTTCTCTCCTTTTCTTCTTTCCGCCTGTTTGCTCTCTT